TAGCCACTTACTTTCAAATTTTAATTTTAACATTATAAAATTCAAATTTTAAATTTTAAATTTAAAATTTTAAATTTCAAAGTTTAATTCTAAGCCTTAAAAGTTTACAAACACTTAAGTATCAATAACATTGAATAAGAAAAATAAAATTTATTTAAAAATAATAATAATAATAATAATAATAATAATAATAATAATAATAATAATAATAATAATAATAATTAGCCCGGCCCGGTCTGGACCCGTTAAGCCCGAACCCGGGCGGGCCCAAAAAACCTTGTAAATGTACAACCCGCTCAGCTTGTTAACTCAGCCCGCTAACCAGCCCGGAACGTTAAACGAACGACCTATTTTTTTTTGTGTTCAGCCCATCCCAGCCCGCCCGTTAAACACCTTTAGGTTCGGAGGCCTCGGCCCCTGCCCCCTCATCGACCCCCCTGGTTTGAGGCAGTTTGGTGTCACCTTGCACGTGGGACACCTGCTGGGAAGCTTCTTCTTCGGACTCATCCCTTAGCCGATGGATTGAGTCCGATGTGAGCTCTCGGGCGCTGGTGCTTTCCTTGGATTTACGCACCAGCCTCCTTCTCGGTTTTTTCTTCTCCGAGTTCGAAGAACTATAGCCCTTTTTCTCTTCTTTTCCTCACCCTGCCTCAAAGTAGGGGACTCAGCGGGGCTATCCTCGTCACCAGATGGAGGCCTCATAGCGACATCCTTGGAAAGACCTATAAAGAAAAAAGAAATAAGTAAGAACTTAGTAGCACAAGGAAACCCAAGTGTTGTTCACTCGAGAAAGTAATCTTGCCGTGAGAACGGGCCTCTCACCGGCCCTTCGCAAGTTTGCACCATGCACGCTCAAAATATGGTTTCTGTGAGACAATGTCCTTGACCCGCTCCTTCAGTCGAGGAACTTCATCCAGAACCCGAGCAATAGCTGCATCGTCACCAAATATCAATAAGAAAGGGGAAAAAGAGAGTAAAAATATGTCCTTGACCCACTCATTGAGTCGAGGAACTGCATCCGGAACCCGAGCAATAGCTGCATCGTCACCAAATATCGATAAGAAAGGGGGAAAAGAGAGTAAAAATGAAATTCTGGGAAATTTGGAACTTTACTTACGTTTTGTGTTCCACTCATCAGGGAAAGACATATACTTAATCGGTATCAGGTCCGAGGTCCTCACTCAGACAAATTGGCCTAGCAACCTCGGTCTCGATCTTCATCAATGCTCGAGAATGGGGCTTTTGTGGCCCGACGCGCAAGTTTAATCAGTCCCCCCGGATGAAGTGGGGACTGTATAGATGCACCAGATGGTCAACGGTGAATGGAAATCCGTCAATCTTGCCCACGAAAAATTGGAGAAGGAAGCGGTCGCTGCAAATATAATCATGTCCGCAAGTCCGGAGTCGAATCCCACAGAGAACTAGGGCTTAGCTACAGTTGTTCAATATTGCTAAAAAACACAAGACCAAACAATTTCCTAGTTATAAAGATTATAATGTTTATTTCTAACTAATTAGCTAACAACTCTTATAAAGCAGTAAAATTATCAACTAACAAGGATGAAATTTGAGACAAGGTTAAGGAGGTCTACAGTTATGATTTTTTCAATTGTCGAAATCCTTCCCACTACGTCTTATGTACTTTTGCCTAAGTACTCTCTATCGATCGTGAGAAATTTGGGTGTTGTATCTCTCTCTCGAGCAACTACCACAATTTACTAGACATATTCTTTCAAACTACGCTAGCTGGCACTAATTCATCGCTCACTACGATCGCACCAAGGTTTCGTTATCTCTAATCCCACCTTTAAATCCTTCGTATTGATCCCTCATATACGTTGGGAGTGATGTTGTTCAACAACTACTTAAATGCGTACTCTCTCTCTCTCTCTCGAGAAATATACATACTAAATAGGCACAGTTAATTGATGGTCATTCAATCAACAACAATAAACACGTAGTTGAACAAGTAGAGAAATCGAACGACTCAATTATATAAAAACGCAATAAGAATTCATCCTACAAAAGGTTTCATCAAAATCCTAGATAAAGAATTAGTTATTCATAATAGTATGCAAACTACAATACTAGAATTCATATCAATAATGAAAATACGAAGAATGGAGTGAAAAACTCATAGAAGAATTCTCCGCCTTGCTCCTAGTGTGTTCTTGCCTCATTCTATCGATTCTCCTCTCTAAAAACGTCTCTCCATCTCCAAAAACATCTCCACATTCGTCTCTCAAAAGTGATTTTGAAGACTATTTATATGGGATAAGGTTAGCATGGGGGAAATAATACAAGCCCACTTCGAAATAGCCTTTTTAGGATAGCTCGTTCACTCTCTCGTGAGCTCTTCTCTTTTTCTTTTCCTTCTAGATCTCTCGTGCACTTCCATACCTTTTTGCCATAATCCGCTATTTTTTCTCAAGCTTTTCCTTCACTCTCTCGTGTGCACGCGAGAGTGAACGAGCAAAGTCCTTCTTTTATCTTTTGGTCCCGAATCAACTTTTTTTGCTCATTTTTCGTCCAACTTGCTCCTACACATTAGAATGCACGTAATGAGCATAATTCACTAGAAAAACACATATAACCTACCGTAACCACACAAGTTATGAGATGAAAGTACACAAAAAATATGCATTTTTGGCTATTTATCAGCATGCTGAGTTACTTTGAGATCCTAGTAAATATAAGAGTATGATTGGTGCTCTTCAATACTTAACTATGCTTCGTCCAGATATTGCCTGTGTTGTTAACATTGTTTCACAATTTATGCATGCTCCGCGTATTATTCATCTACATTGTGTGAAGCGTATTTTCGGGTATTTACAAGGTACCATCATAGATTGACTGTTCTTACGTGCCTCTCTATCCACCACTTTAATTGTTGCCTATTCGGATGTTGATTGGTGTCTTGATAGCCGACGCTCTACCACAGGGTTTGCAGTATTGTTAGGCTCTAATCTTATTTTGTGGCATGCACAAAAGCAATCAATGGTTTCTAAATTTTCTACCGAGGCCGAGTACAAAGCTATCACTTATACTGTTGCTGCGATATCTTGGATTCGTAATATTCTTCGTGACATCGGGCTCAATCTCCGTAATCCGATTCATGTTCTTTGTGATAATGTGAGCTCTACATATATATGCCCCGTAACCCTATGTTACAAGACCGCTCTAAGCACATGGAAGTTGATTCTTATTATATTCGTGAAAAAAAATTGCTCAAGGGATCTTGTTGTTCGATATGTACCAATTCGGTTACAATTTACGGATATTTTACAAAAGATTTATCCTCATCTCAGTTCAGTTTCTTACATGACAATCTATCTGTCATGTCTGTCAGTCCAGATTGAAGGGACGTATTAGGACTCTAAGGATTTATCTAATAATAATATTAGTAATTATTCCACGTATATGATGGACTCTTAATACTTATCTTTGTAGGTGATATACTTACTATTATTTATATCCATATCCTATAAATACAAGTAATACTGACTCTCTATTTGTCGAGCCATTTATTGAAATCTATCACTCTTTGCGCTCTTCGCCTTATCTACACTAATAAACATTGCAAGATGAGTTAACGCACAATAAATACCGCACAATCCCCATGGTATTATCTATAGCATACAACAACTAAACAAAAACAAGATGGTTGAGTTCTCACTTGAATTAGTAAAACTTGTATAAGTTTTTCTCTTCAAAATATCTTTACAACCATTTTACCAGCAACCAAAAGAGAAAAAAAAGAAGGATAGAGAGGATACCTGTAGTATTTAACTCTAGCCTTCCACTTCCAATTATACTATTAGAGATTTTATTAACATGCTTTTAGAAAGAAAGTTAGACTTTTAACATACAAACTCAGCATTATAAAATATCAAAGCTACCGTTAGCTATACTATCTAAAATTAAATTCTTGCTCTCGAAATGAAAAGAAATGAATTAAAGCTACCGTTAACTCTAGCCTTCCACTTCCAATCATACTATTCGAGCACTGGGTATGAAAAAATCTTTGATAGGAAGCGTTTCCCTCCCCCGAATGAGGTCCTACAGGACTTGAATTCGGATTTAATCGAACTCCAATGTGGGTACCGAATACTGAGTGGAAAACCAAAAAAAACAAACTAAAATTAAATTCCTTAGTGTATCAAGTTTCTCAAATTCAAGCTCTCGAAATGAAAAGAAATGATTTTTTTTTTAATAGGGAGCAATGTTTCCTTTAATAGGCTTTACGTGGCTTGAATTCGTATTAATCGAAGTGCCAAAGTGTGATACCCGACGACAACGGGCGAGAATTTGCTAGACAAAGTTGAAAGTGAAAAAGAGAAGAAAAAGAAACTTAGGTGATCTCTGCGCAATTGATCAAAATATTCATAACTTTCCTTCGCCCTTTCACCGCCCATATACTTCAGGTTTAATCAGAGAGGATTGTGCGGGAGAACCTCCGCAATGGCGCCGGTGAGAACTGCAGGCGCCGTCGCCACACTGCTCTCCATAGCCATAGTTTCTTATTTCCTCTTTAAAACGGAAACCACTCAACAAAAGTCTTCCCAAAAGAAGAAACTTCAAAGACGTAGAAATGGACTCGTCGCCGCCATTGGCAACACTCCTTTAATCAGAATCAATAGCCTATCTGACGCAACTGGCTGTGAAGTATATTCTCTATCTCTCAATTTCAATATACATACGCATGTATCGCTTGCTATATGTCTGAGTGAAAAAAAAAATGTTACTAGTAGTTAGATATGAATAATATCCTGAATTCCAAATTAGTTCGGTTTGGTTATATAATTTTTTTTATTTGTTTCTATTCAGGAATTTTGTATAAGAGGAGGTATAATAGTTAGATTGCTTCCATATGTAGAACTGTGGCTTCTATGCTTTCTAAGAGTGGTTTAGCCTTTCAGATACTTATACATGTAGACAGAGGCGGATCCAGGATTTTAAGTTTATGGGTTCCTGTCGCAATCTCAAATTAATATAAAATAATAACTGGGTTAACAAATAGATATTTATAGATATTTAATAAATTTTTTAACAAAAATACGGGATCTACGCAAAAGTTACTGGGTTCCTGGGAACCCATATATTATGCCTTAGATCCGCCCCTGCATGTAGAAAATGTAGAGGACTTTAATACTACTACTTTTTATTTTTATTTGCATTATAGTGGCACGAATGAGTTTAAATGGAGTAATATGGTCAATGAGGATTCATGTAGCCGACCCCAACTTGTTTCAAACTGAGCATAATTGTTGGTTCTATTTAGGAATTTTGTATTTAAGAGGAGGTATAATAGTTAGCTTACTTTTATATTCACCGTCAACCTATTCCCTCTCCTTCATTCGAGCTTGGATCAGTTATGCTTTGCAAAGCTCATATAGGAGGAGTTGTTTGTAGTTGGATATATATTACGTTTGCATATGTAGATGAATATGGCTAATTGATAGCAACTCCTGTTTAGATTTTGGGGAAAGCAGAGTTCTTGAATCCTGGAGGGAGTGTTAAAGACAGGGTAGCCGTGAAGATTATTGAAGAGGTGATATTCCCTTCGTATTCCTTTTTCTGAGCCAGCATTGTATTAGCTCGTTATAGCTAAATACCTGCTTAAACTGTATCTTTTACGGTTTTAACCAATCTTTATTTCTCTTGGTTCTAAAATATATTTTACAGTTTGATCTAGTTTTCAGAATTTGTCCAATTTATGAAGAGATTTATTGTCTTCAATGGCTTCAATAACATTCCAGTACTCCTTTGTGATTTTTCTAAAGATATCTTTGTTCTTTTTTAACCTCAATTGAATGTTAAAGAAAGTGAGCTTTTACTGACCAGTTATGAACTGGTTCAGTTGTAGGGGTAGAAGATGATCTAAGTGGTTTATGCCCTTGGATGAATGCATATGTACTCTCCACATCTAGCACCTAGCTAAGACGGATTGACATGGGCATGCTTTTCTGGTGCATTGGAGTGGGCAAATTGAGTGACGTCATGTCAACAACCAGACATTTTCCATGGAAGTACCAGGGGTGGATCTGTTACTTATTAAGTCAACTAAGGTGGTTATGCATATATCTCCTAAATAAAGGCAAAAGAATACTCCTATTGGCTTCCTACTTAAGGCACTTCCTTACCTCAAACTCGTCAATAGTTCATCCATTTAGACCCCATGCTTTGCACCTAGCTAAAAAAGGTTGTCAAATGCCATGTCTTTCTTCTGTATTGAAGCAAGCAAAAAAGGGTGCTCTAGGTCGACAACCAGATGTTTGCCTGGGAAATATCTAGGGGAAGTCTAATACCATATAAGGCATCCTTTTGTGGAAGCTACTTTCATCATTCCAATATGTATGGAATGTCAAAGAAGATCTCCTCATTCTAGGAGTTGAACTCAAACAGTCACATGCTAACACCCCTGGTAAAGACATTTATGACATAATTTGGAAGGGAAATGGCTAAATAATTTGCATTTTGGAAAGAAATGGAATTCTTTTATCAGCATCTACCAGTATAATCTGCATGTGTCAGCTTCTTAACAGCCGAGCTTCATTTACGCAAAAGTATATCAATTTAACATCAAGCTTTACTGAAAGTAGGAAAATGCCCGAGCTTCTACAAATAGAGAACCAAAAAATCAAAGGAAACANGGGGGAAGAAAGGGGGGCTAGAAGGTGGAGCTGTAGAATGTTGGTGGATTGCAGAGTTGTTTTCTTCTGTTTGTGTTGTATAATGTTGGTGGATCACAGAGTTATTTTTCCGTTTGTGCATGTCTGTTTTTATCTCAGGAACAATTTGCAAGGGTGGAGAAAGTATTGATTCAAGATTGCTTTGTTTGATTAAGAAATGGTGGCTTAGTTGCTAGAGACTGAAATTATCACCCTATCCTTTAACAGTGACCAAACTTCAAGAATATTTTTCATATGGATAATTTGTTGTCAAATGTGGTACATACATTTGTTTTAGAAATTTAAAATTAGTGAGTCAATTCCTTTTCGTTGATTAAACCTAAATATCCATCAGCTTATTCATGGTATTAGGTTAAGAAGACCACTGATGCCAGTTTAAGGTTTAAGAGTTCTTGTAAGTGATTGGGATGAGAAGGTTTTAGTGACGATGAAAGCTAAACTCAGGGATTTGCTTGATGTGTTTATTTTCTGTAAATTTGCTTTCACAACGTATTTACAATTAAATTGCTTCTTTACGATTAACAAGGTTCAATAAACTTGGGTATGTTTAAATACATTTTCTTCTGTTAACAGTGGAATATCAATCACAGGCCCTGGAATCAGGAGCATTAGCTGAAGGTGGAGTAGTTACAGAGGGAAGTGCAGGAAGCACAGCCATTAGTCTTGCAACAGTAGCACCTGCTTATGGGTGCAGATGCCATGTGGTTATTCCAGATGATGCTGCTCTCGAAAAGGTTAAACATTTAGGGTGTGTTT